TTCCCGTATCCCACCAGAGCAAAATGCTGTTTTTTTCACTGTCACTTGTGAAAAAGCAAAGAAGCCTGTAGCCGGAGTTGTGAGCCAGGTTTAAGTAAAATATTTTTGTTTTCACTTTTAAATCTCGTTTCACTGAAACAATAGGCGTGGAGCCTGAAGCCAAAGCCCTTCTCTGTACATTGTTGAAAAAAAACATAAAATATACTCAATTTATAAACGAACCTTTGTCGGCATTTTTGAATAAACATAGTGCTTGCAATTGAAGCGTCTGCCTCTGAATTGTGGACCAAAATGTGACAGTTGGTGCATACTATACTACGGGTTTAGGCCACAAGATGTACAGAGCGATAGCGAATATCTTGTTTTTCCCGCGTGCGGTATCCCACAGTTTGAAAAGGTTCTCATGATTTGAAAATTTTAAAAATACAAATGAATGTTTTTGGTTGATTAAATAACACCACAAGGTTAAGGCATATTAATTAACCATAATCTACACACCATCTTGTAACACATGTCTAATGCCTGATGAGCCGAACCCCTCACAATTGCGTCAAGCAGCGGCAGAATACCGGCGAAACACGTGTCTGAGCTTTTTAGCTAGTACTTCGGCTGTTAGTATGGTAAGTTACAACATTAATAAATACTACTACAGTCTGCCCATTGGCAGCAGCTGTACAGTAAGCAGTAGTTGGCGGGTTTCAGCCTAAATATACACATACAATTTCGGCCTATGCCTATAGACCTTAAATATACTGATGTATAGCGCGAACAGAAATTTATTTTTAAGGAAATTAAAAAGCAGAAGATACATATTTAAGTGAAATGAAAAGAGAGAGCCCTGCCGTAAAATTAGCTGTACTTGGCAGCAGTAGCTTATGTAGGACCACTCATTAATCCCTACTCTCTGCATGTTTTCCTATGAAAACGGTGGATATAGGGTTTTATGGGTGGGAATTAGAACACGCAGTGGAACATACTTTAGTAAATGCTAAATGCATCGTTATTTTACTGTATTTAGAAGTGTTGTTGATTTAAATCTGTAGATTTTCCTAATCTGTATTTATCGTTTAACTTATTGTGAAAAAACCCAGTTATCAAACTGCAAGTTTCTTGAATTTCCCGAAAAAATGAAATAGTGTTTAGGAGTTCGTCTACTTTAACTTACCTGAGGTCCAACTTGCTGTTCTGGAGTTAGATTAGTAAAGTCCGCGGCGCTAAGCACCGCGCTCACCTTCAATTTACATACGGAACAACTTACTCCCAGTGGCTGCGGGAAGCAACTTCGTCTACACTTTTTTCACTGTACACTTACCTCTAAAAATTTCCTTCTCTGCCTATCCTATTTCCCCACCCCCCCCCAAAAAA